AAATAATAATATATATATTTATATAAATTATATTAATTTTAAGATATTAATTTTTTTTATATAATAATATTTAATATTATTATTATACTAAATTTATATAATATAATATATAAATCTAATATAATTTATAAAAAAAATTAGATGAAATTATTAAATCTATTAAATTTTAAATTATTTTTTTTATATAAATTTTTAGACTTTTTTATAAAAAAAATAATTTAAAATTTAAAAGATTTAATAATTTAATTTAATTTTTTTAAATAAATTATATTAGATTTATATATTATATTATATAAATTTAGTATAGTCTTAGTCTTATAGTGCTTTAGGCGTTCCCTTCCACGTTAGGGAGGGTGCAACAAGCTTTCCAGCCATTTTGCACCCTGCATTTGTCAGCCGCCTAGTCAATAGGTGCAAGTATGTTGGCCCTTCGAGCAAACTCATAGAGCCCTTCTATGCCGTCCCTATCAACATACATATCCTTGATGCAAGTGGTCCCAAAGACGTCCCAACGGATCTCGTCAAGACCACTGCATCTGGTGCCTAAGTGGTGCGGGTTTTCGTCCGCCAGTCCACACTTCGGGCAGGTAGGGTCACTTCCTCTGCCTATTTTTGCCAGGTATGAGGCTAGGGGCCAGTGCCCAGTGATAAGTCTGATCAAAGACCGGAGTTTCATCCTGTTCAGCCCTTCCAGCGTCTCCGCCAGCTGTTTTGTAGGTTCACGAAAAGGGGTCCTTGTATGTTTGGCGCCCTCTCCTGAGCGCCACCTTTCCACAACCCCTCTCTCTGCTCGTTTCCAGGTCATATCCTTAACGAAGTCTATGTGCACCCCCACTAGGTTCTGCTCTGTTGGCGCAACCTCTAGACAACGTCTTTTGGCCAGCTCGTCGGCTTCCATGTTGCCGAGGATGCCAGCGTGGCCCGGAGTCCAGACCACTTCCAGCTGATTACGGGAAGCCACCCTTTCCATCAGCTCAGTACAGTCGTTGACGAATCGAGAGCAACTCTCATTCTTGAGCCGTGCCCTCAACGCACGCCTGCTGTCTGAGCAGATGTATATCTTCTTGCCCCTGTCCCCCCTGCCTAGAATTTCCCTGGCACAGGCTTTCAGGGCTGCAAGCTCTGCTTGGAGCACGGTCGTATGCGGGTCCAATCCAAGGGCCCGTGCAATTGAAGGTCCCTCAGACCAGATCCCTGCCCCCGCTCTATTACCAATTCTGGAGCCATCCGTGGACCAGACCAGCCCCTTCGGTGGCGTCCACTTTCTGTCACTCCCTAGTTGGTTTGCCCCATATCCAAGGTTGACCTTAAAACTCTTTTGGAAGTGCCATCGCCGTCCGCAGGCATCTCCTCCCCAGGACAGCAGTCCCCGAAGGTCGCTGTCCGCCGTGAGCATTGCCGCATGACCACTACTGGCCTCCCTCCATCGACCTTGCAGTCGTAATCTCGCAGCCGAGATCAGCGCCACCTCCTTAATGTGAAGGTGGGGCGGCTGGAGAAAGAGCAGAGCCTCCAGTGCTGAGGTGGGGGTCGTCCTGAGTACCCCCGTAATTCCCAGCATCGCAAGCCTGCCCGTCCTGTCTACCGTTTTCCTATGGCAAGCTTTGTTCATTGCCGTCCACCAGACAACAGCAGCATACGCAAGCTGTGGGAGCATTATGGCCGTGTAGATCCATTTCACGATTCTGGGCCTAAGCCCCCACGTGTTGCCAAACATCCTCCTGCATGCCCAGTAAGTCATGATGACTTTGTTCGTCTGCATGGTGATGTGCTTCTTCCAGCTGAGCCTTCTATCGAGCCATACTCCCAGGTGTTTTACCTCGTTCGAAAAGCCCAGAACTGTATCATAAATGGAGGGGGGTCTTACGACACACCTCCTCCTGCTAGTAAAGAGCACCATCTCCGTCTTGCTCGGGTTTACCCTGAGTCCATGAGAGCTGCACCACTGCTGAACATAGTCCAGCGCATTCTGCATCCTCCGGTGTAGTATGCCCTCATTTCTGCTACTCACGAGCAAAGCCACATCGTCTGCGTATCCGATTGCGTCCACCCCCAGTCTCTCAAACCCAGTGAGGAGCCCGTCCGCAACGAGGAGCCACAGCAGGGGCGAGATCACCCCCCCCCCTCCCCCTCCGGGCAGCCACTCTCCACTAGCGCCCTGACTGTACTGCCCCCGAGCGAGGAGTGGAACAACCTACTTCGGAGCATAGCGGCGATCCATCTGATGATGGGTATCTCTATCCCAAAGGATGCCGCTGCCATCTCCATGGTTCCAAAGGAGGTATTATCAAAGGCCCCCTCTATGTCAATAAAGACAGCGAGGGTGTCCTCTTTCCTTTCCCTTGCTCTTTCTATTTTTGCAACCAGGCTGTGCAGTGCCGTCTCAGTTGATCTGCCCGCCTGGTATGCATGCTGCGAGGGGCTAATGGGATTCATTGTCAGCACTCCTTCTTTGATGTGCCTGTCAACGAGCCTTTCCAGCGTCTTCAGTAGGAAAGAGCTCAGGCTGATAGGCCGATAGGCTTTGGCGTTGTCATAGGTGCATTTACCTGGTTTAGGAATAAACACAACCCTGACCTCCCGCCATCTTCCTGGGACATGTCCTAAAGCAAGACAAGCCCTTAGTGCTGGTAGCAGTCTATGCAGAAGCAGCGGGCCTCCTTTCCGCAGAAAAGCCGTGTATATGCCATCAGGCCCCGGACTCTTATACATCTCGAAGGAGTCCACCGCCCACCGCAGCCTGTCCAGTGTAACAATTTTCGATGCCAGGCCCCAAATCGGCCTGCCCTCGCCTAACCGTGCCCACTCCACACCAGAGCACATTCCCTCCCCCTGCATAACAGAGTCGGGGAAGTGCACCTGGATCAGGTGCTCCAGTATCTCATCTGGCTGGGTGATAGCAACACCACCAGGTAGTATGATCCCACCCAAGCCTTGCGCGTGTCCGGCAGAGAAGACCCTGCGAAGCCTGGCCACTTGTGGCAGTGCCTCCAGCTCCTCGCAGAAGGTCCTCCATGCTGACTCTTTCGATCTTTTAATGAGATTTTTAAACTCCCTTTGTATCTTCCTGTACTGAGTCCAGTCCTCTTCTCTTTTGGTGCGGTACGCTCGGTTCCAGAGACGCCTGGTCAGGCCTCTCAGTCTCCCAAGTTCCCGGTTCCACCATTTAACTTTCCTCCCTACCCTGCCATGGTCTGATCGGACATGCCTGGTGGAAGGACTCGGTTAGAGCTCTGTGGATTCTCTCCACCTCGTCCTCTAACCTCTCGATGTTGCTGGGCTTCATACGTCCGACCTCTAGCCTTTCCTCCAGTTCCCTCCTAAAAGAGTCCCAGTCGGTGGCCTTCGGATTTCTACGCACGAATCCCTGCGCAATCTCAGCAGTGCCTTGAATTTCAAACCTGATGCACCGGTGATCGGAGAGCGAGTCCTCCTGGTCCACTCTCCAGTTCACGCACCGGTGCGCCAGTCTGCGATCGCATAACGTGATGTCAATGATAAATTGACACCTAGCGGTGACAAACGTGGGGCTAGATCCCCTGTTTAGGATCTCCAGCTCCGTATTCGCCAGGTATTCCAACAGGGCTGATCCCCTGGCGTTATTCTTACTGCTACCCCATACCTGCAGTACCTGACCAATTCCTGCAGCTCTCTAGTGGGTGGCAGCTCCGCAGAGTCATGCGGTAGGTAAGCCGAACAGAGGACCATGTCCTCGGTCGGCCCCTCCCCATGTACCTGCACCATAACCGCCACCAGGTCCCTGTGACAGAAGTTCGCCATCCCCCTGGGTCTGCCCGCTTTTCGAACTACGATTTTCTAACTACGAGAAAAGAATAGTTCCTCACCTAGGTTAAATCCCCTTACAGATCCCTCGTAACACCAGGACTCCTGTATAAGGCATATATCTGTCTGTCCTACTGCGATGCTGCGACTCAGCAGGGCAGTCGCAGCCTTGCAGTGTTGCAAGTTAATCTGGGAGCATCGGACAAGCGGCGAGGTTATACCGCCCCGCCGCCCATCGTCCATTGCTCCGGCGTTTCCGCGCCTGCAGGCCATCGGATTGCCCTTATTCAAGGTGCCCCTCCGGCCTGCCTGACGTGCACGTCACGCCCTTTTCCCCCTGATCCAGGCCAAGGGTGCCCTCTTGGGCCCGGGTGAGAGTCCTTTGAGTCACCCCTCCTGACCCCCTCACGACCACCCTGCCCGCACCACATCGGCCCCTACTGGCCCTCGGGCGTCCCACCGGTCTCGGCAGGGAGACCGCCAAGGGAGGCCAGCTGTCCGCGGCACTGCCGAGGCTTTCCCCCATTGTTCTTCTGGGGACGTCTGCCCCAGCAGCCATCTGTGCCCCTGCCGAGACTGCAGGCGCCCCCTGATCACCGCCGGGAGCGGGGCCCCACCTGACCCAGGCTTCTCTCAGGGGTCGATGCTCCCTCCCTCGGCCCCTTCGATGACTCGTAAAAATGAGCCCGTCCGAGACAGTAGAAGGGAGCCATCTCCACCTTCCTGAGCCCCTCCAGGGACTTGGAGTCCACCCCTGCTACCAGGTTGGTACCTCCCTTCCCTTCTCTGCAGTCCCAGACCCTCCACTTTTCAGTGAAGAGGCCCTGGTTCTGCTTTTTCAGCCTGTCCAGTGCAACAGCCATTCCCACCGACTTACCCGGGAAAAAAGCCGTCACCCTGGACAGCCTGGGGAGCGCGTCCCTGTCCATAAGGACGAGGGAGGCCCCATCCCAGGGTGCCAGTGAGGCCACCGCGCTCCTGAGCCACTCTTTCGAGCGGGCGTCAGTGCACGTGACCCATAGCACCCCTTGCTCCAGCCGGTGTCCCTCGAAGCTCGGGAGCTGGCCGCTCTGGTCACCTCCGAACATCTTGTTCACCAATGCTTCCTGAATGAGGTCCGCCTGGTCCCCCGTCAGGGCTGGCTCCGGGTAGCCGGCCGGCTAGCCACCATCTTGCCACCACCCTGTGCTGTCACCCTGTAGGAGGGTGCTCCAAGGCTGTCCCTCTTCTTCGCCCTCTTTTTAGGCATGGCGATCTCAGGGGGTGTGGCCCCAGAGGACCTAGGCCTTTTGGCTCCGGTCCCCCCAACCACTCCTACTGGGGTCTCCACCCCTCCCTGCGAGGAGCGCTATTCCCGCAAAGCCTCGGCTTCCAGCCTGGCCTTGCGAGCCCTGCGCTTCTCCGCGCCCGTGCGTCCCTTGCGCTTGTCCTTTAGGGCAGGTTGGTCCTTGGTGGGTCCTACCACGGTAGTTGCCTCCTCCGACCCCCCTGCCGAGACCGCGGCCGTCTCCTGAACCCCTGTGGGATCCCCGGGGACTGCTGCCTCAACCGATCTGTCTGCCTCTGGCGTTCCCTCTGGGAGGGCACCGCCTTCGGCGTTGTGTGGTAATTGTGAATTGTACATAGACATCCCACGAGTATCCTAGGAAATGGAGGTCCGCCCCAGCAGAGCCTGGTTACTGGCGTAAGGCATCACTACAATGAGGTGCTGCCTGGTGCCTCAAGGGTATAGTTAACGACACTATTCCCCAGTGCCATCCAGCCATCGGCACGATAACTCCCACCTTGGCTTGGGGAGTTGGTCTGCGACGGTGCTTTGGAGCGCCCTATCAGGGAGTTACCCCCGAGTTTGCCCCTATAGCGCCCGTTGACCGGGTTCCGGCAAGGACTAGCCAGATCCAGCCTCTGATACTTCTCAGTACCCGACCCTGGTCCCCCAGCCCCTTCCTTTCCCCGGCCGTCCCTCTATCCGCCACCTGAGGACGCACCCGGTTGGCGCTCAGCCCTCCCCTTCGTCTCTTTACGAGCTCGTCCGGGGCCGGGAAATTTAGTATAATAATAATATTAAATATGATTATATAAAAAAAAAATTAATATCTATAAAATTAATATAATTTATATATATATATATTATTATTTATATTATATATTATATATATATCATATTATACAAATATATTTTGATATGCATAGCGCCAAAAAACGTTACATGCTTTTTTTTAAAAGGGATGAATCCTGTGGCATTAATTTACAGGAAAAACGGAGACATTTATACCGTCGAAGTGAATGAAAACGACGATTTTGTTATCAGTTCTGACACCGCAGAAGTGGAAGTCCATTCTCTCGGTATTCTGATATATTTATAATCCTCCATAGCTATTTATTATAAATCATTAATTATTACGGTAATTTAAATAATTGGATGATCGTTTACAGATAACCCAGAGGTTTCTCAATCATCAGCTAAAACCACGAGACTCAGAGAGATCATGGATACCATTCGTCAAACTCACAATCATCGTTCTGATAAATCTGACAAGTCTTCGAAAACATCATAGTTGAAGAAGTCTTCTAGTGAGGTAAAAAAGTTTCTTTTTGTGCAACTTAAAGTTGGGATTTTCGCGAATAAAATCGAGTCTTTGTCATTTGTTCGATTTAAATTGGTAGTTTATTTAAGTTTAAGATTTTTCATGTTAACAATAACAAATTACTTTCAGGAAAAAAAGAAAACAATATCGAAAATCCAAGTTGGATGGCTGGGACATAAACCAGCCAAAGCAACAAAATTCAGTCAGATAAAGAAGGTCCTCGGTGGTGTTAGAGCAGGGCCCGGCAACTTTCAGGTAGTCGGAAGCCAGCCTATTACTAGGGTCGGGATAATCCTCTCATCCTAATGGGTACCCAATTAGCCAACCATTGTGTGCGAGTAAGTCCCAGTGGTGACGATATTTTCGTCAGCCACGTAGAGTGGCGTGCGAGTCGAATAAAAATGGCCGACTCACCAGAATTCGCGCTAAATTTCAGTTTTAAATTTTAAATGTAAAATTAAAAAAGTAAAATTTAAGAAAACCTTGGAGAATATATTTCCGAAATGGTAGTCGGCAATTATTATTTCTCCGGTGAATCGTGCCTTTTAATCTTTAACTTCGATGGAAGGATAGCATCTGAGACTATAAATTTGACGAAAATAATTACAAATTTGAAATACATACATTTGAATATATTTTTAATTAATTGTCTACTCTTGGCCAACATTATGGAATGTTGCTCAATGGAAACAGCGGAAAGGTGGTAGACGTATTCTATCATGGGTAATGGAAAGGAACAAAAGGTGCAGGAAATAGGAAAAAATTTAATCCTATAAAATCTTATTACTAATATATTTACAATAGTTTCATAGCAACAATCGTACGAATGCCAGATTCTTGGAGAATCTCACATTAATCCGATGCTGCTAAGAGTTGTCAAATTATATTAAATCTGTAATTGTCAATATCTAGCGACAAGGTTATAATGAAAAGTGTAAATGATTCAATTTTAATGCGAGCGTTGAATTTGCATAGATTCCACGATTTTTTCTAAATGAGGTTTATAATTACTGAGACTCACAAGCATGGCTTCTTTGAAGTTCTCATCTCCTAATGCCGACCTACCGGAGGTTTTAATGCGATTCATGTGAGAAAAACCTGATTCGCAAACATATGTTGTTCCGAACATCACACGTTTGTACGATTCTGCGAGAATTGGAAAATGATTACCTTCGATTATTATCTTCCACAAATCGTCTAAACTGCACGAAGGTAAATCGAATGTGATAAATTTTTCCATTTCAACGGAGAGTTGTACACCGTTTACGCGTGTAAAATTAACTATTGCAGACTCGAGGCGTTCAAGATCATACATAAAAGCTTTAGGAGCCTGGAAAAATTGACACAAGTACTGTAAATCATCTATGTTGGGAAATCGCTAATTTAAATCGTCGTATAATTGTTGCGTCAATTCTGCGAAAGGCTGGCCATTGAATGCTGTGTTGCTGGATCCCTTTACTACTGATTCTAACGCAGTAAACATAGACGGAACTAGATTTTTGGAAAAATTAGATTGGATTCTTTTGATTAATGTTCTCAACGCGGTCACTACCTGCAGGTAATCCCACAAAAATTTCCCGTTTCCCTGCATTCGAAGATTAATATTGTTAATGAGTTTAGTGAGATCAACAAGATATGCTAGTTGTGTAAGCCACTCGAAATCATCCAGTTCAGTATATTCGCGATCAAATACCTCTTTCATAAAACTGATAATTGCTGGCAAATTTTCATAAAATCGCTCCAGCATGACCCCTTTACTTAACCACCTAACTGCTCTATAGTAAACTAAATTTCGCGCATCTAATTCATTCGCTTTTTTGAACTCTTCATAAAGTCGCTTGGCCAGCGGTTTCGCTAGAATCGAGTTCACAATTTTGACCACTAAATTGAAAACCTTGTCGATAGATATTTTTTTCATGCAGAGAGCTAATCTATGTAACATGCAATGCATAGATGTAAATGGCGGAAAATC